TTTCCCCCCCAGGCTGCGTAATACAGAAATGGAAGAGGATTCTGCCCTGCCAGGAGCACTTCACTCTTCCATTTATGTGAATGATCATGTTGGCTTCTGTGGCAGTATAAAAACATTCCCAAGTGACTTTATAGTGTCAGAAATTAATGCATTGGGACAGTTAGTTAATGAGTGTGCAACGGATTCTCTTCGTACGTCCTGTGAAACCCTCTCAGAACAAACTAGGAGTTGTCAGAAGGATTGCAAAAGACTAAGGTTGGATCCTGCAGAATCCAACATAGATGAGGAATGTTGCAGAGACCAAGAGGGTGATGTCTGCTGTCCTTCAGAATGTCTTCCTTCATCTACTGAAGAGAGTGAAATACATACTGCTACAAATCTACTTGAATGCCACCTGGACAAAGCTCTCACCTTGGACTCTTTATTAGATGAGTCTCTAAGGGAGAAACTAAGTCAGTTTGCTTGCCAAGTGAAAGATGCATGGAATTCAAAATGTGAGCCAGAAGCTTTTCCCACTGAATTTTCTCTTGGTCCTGTCCCTGACAAGAAGGTTCGAGCCAGTTTGCATGGTGCCATTAGACAGGAATATCCTTTCTTACTTAGTGTTACAAAATGTGGTGAGATGGTCCTAAAAGCAAACCAAGACTACCATGAGCTCTGCAAATTGGTATCTGAAGAGGAAGCTTGTGGTTTTCTAAAGTTTTTGGATGCCAAATTAGAAAATTCAAAGTTTGCTTTTAGGCCTGATGGGGACAAGGAACACCGAAAGATGGTTCACCATTTTCTCAGTAAGAAGTTTGGGAAACTTGTGGAAACGAAGTCTTTTTCGGATTCTGAGCAAAACGTTTTCATTATGGTACGATTTCGTGCGAAAAGTGGATTCAGGAAAAGGACTAATGCTAGGAGTGAGGAGAAAGAAGAAATTTACACAGGTAGGTACACAATAAGTTTGTTACTTCCTCTGAAGAGTTTGCTTTGTTCTTATCATAAATCAGTCTGTAAGATTGGA